TAAGAAGTTAATCTCAACTCAGTGAAAGCAGAGTTCATATTTTGATGAAATCTATTTGAAGAGACGAACATATTTGGGGATTTGGGCACATAAAAAAATGAAGATGATAAAATCTTTCAGATGTTTTCATTTCTGCACATGAACTAGACATCAGTTAAGATCAGCAACTTGGCTGAAAAACAATCTAAGTGATCTTTGTGTTACACAAAAAGATTATATTTTCGCTGATATAAAACACAGTCTTACCCTCCTGACAACCAGCCAATTCATTTATGTCCTTTGTAATGGACACTTGTTTTTGCTCTTATTTTTGACTTATTCGAACTACCCTACCAAGTCCTGGTTTACTAAATAGAGGACATCCTGGGCTTTCCACTGATATCTCATCTGTTTTTTGGGTGGCCTCCTTTAGCTCCAAAGAAATCACAAAAAAAAAAGTTCAATGGGAACATTCTTTTTTTTCCTTGGTTCTCATTTGAATATGACAGCATCACAACCATATTTTAAAGAGGTTTTCCTCTACGGTATATCTCTGTATTCAAATGGAATTGGATACTAGAAATTTCCAAGCAAAACTAGGTCAAAGCAAGTTTGTAATGAATTTATCATGAATAGCATAAATTGGGCATCTGTTCTTGTCCTTGGGTGTGAAAATGCTTTGAAAAAGCAAACTTTGGTTAATTAGAGCTCAATCCGGTGAAAGCTGATCATGGTCTAATTGTGTATGAAAGAACTGAGAGCCTCACTTGGCTGTGGTTTCTGAGCTCCTCGGGAGTCTTTTGTCAAATAGAATTCAATTATCTGCGCTTCTGCACAAGAGCCCTTTGAAGAAGAAATTCACCAGAGCACAGCATCCACACACTGTGTGGATGGGCTGCCATAAACAAACACAGCTTTCTCCCACACTAAGGGTATGCACAACATTAATTACTGCAAACAAATCCCTGTCATTATCACCCATCATATTTGTTCTACATGTAATATGCATTTTGCCATCATGTAGCTGTTCTGTTTAATAGCCAATGCAAAGTTTAATATCACCACACAAGGTCATGGATAACAAGATACTTGCATTTGAATTTACTAAAGGTAAAAAGTACTACACTGAGCCACCATATGCTCCCCAATTAGCATTGATCATTTAGTCAACACCATCTTAGCGCTAAAACTAAACCTTACATTCAACCTAGACATCTTTCAGTCTGGGCAGAATGTCCTATTTCAAACATTCAAATGTTCATTATATAGCTACTGCTGACCCTGTGCATTCTGTTATTGAATAGCCAAAATTTAAATCACAAATTTACAAATTTGTAATTTTTCCTCTCTATTTCATCCAAATACTTATCAATAAAATCTAAATTTTATGTAGTGGAATTTCTCACGAACCCCTAACACTTCTCAGCAGCTCTTACAATTATGCTCTTGTTTACACACCATATTTATTAAAAGCAGTGTTGTTGTACAAACCGGATTGCATAAAAGTTGGGACACTAAACAAATTGTGAATAAAAACTGAATGCAATGATGTGGAGATGGCAAATGTCAATATTTTATTCAGAATAGAACGTAGATGACAGATCAAAAGTTTAATCCGAGAAAATGTATCATTTCAAAGGAAAAATATGTTGATTCAAAATTACACGGTGTCAACAAATCCCAAAAAAGTTGGGACAAGTAGCAATAAGAGGCTGGAAAAAGTAAATTTGAGCATAACGAAGAGCTGGAAGACCAATTAACACTAATTAGGTTAATTGGCAACATGATTGGGTATAAAAAGAGCTTCTCAGAGTGGCAGTGTCTCTCAGAAGCCAAGATGGGTAGAGGATCACCAATTCCCACAATGTTGCGCAGAAAGATAGTGGAGCAATATCAGAAAGGTGTTACCCAGCGAAAAATTGCAAAGACTTTGCAGTTATCATCATCAACTGTGCATAACATCATCCAAAGATTCAGAGAATCTGGAACAATCTCTGTGCGTAAGGGTCAAGGGCGTAAACCCATACTGGATGCCCGTGATCTCCGGGCCCTTAAACGACACTGCACCACAAACAGGAATGCTACTGTAAAGGAAATCACAGAATGGGCTCAGGAATACTTCCAGAAACCATTGTCAGTGAACACAATCCACCGTGCCATCCGCCGTTGCCAGCTGAAACTCTACAGTGCAAAGAAGAAGCCATTTCTAAGCAAGATCCACAAGCTCAGGCGTTTTCACTGGGCCAGGGATCATTTAAAATGGAGTGTGGCAAAATGGAAGACTGTTCTGTGGTCAGACGAGTCACGATTCGAAGTTCTTTTTGGAAATGTGGGACGCCATGTCATCCGGACCAAAGAGGACAAGGACAACCCAAGTTGTTATCAACGCTCAGTTCAGAAGCCTGCATCTCTGATGGTATGGGTTGCATGAGTGCGTGTGGCATGGGCAGCTTGCATGTCTGGAAAGGCACCATCAATGCAGAAAAATATATTCAGGTTCTAGAACAACATATGCTCCCATCCAGACGTCATCTCTTTCAGGGAAGACCCTGCATTTTTCAACAAGATAATGCCAGACGACATTCTGCATCAATCACAACATCATGGCTGCGTAGGAGAAGGATCCGGGTACTGAAATGGCCAGTCTGCAGTCCAGATCTTTCACCTATAGAGAACATTTGGCGCATCATAAAGAGGAAGGTGCGACAAAGAAGGCCCAAGACGATTGAACAGTTAGAGGCCTGTATTAGACAAGAATGGGAGAGCATTCCTATTTCTAAACTTGAGAAACTGGTCTCCTCGGTCCCCAGACGTCTGTTGAGTGTTGTAAGAAGAAGGGGAGATGCCACACAGTGGTGAAAATGGCCTTGTCCCAACTTTTTTGGGATTTGTTGACACCATGACATTTTGAATCACCATATTTTTCCCTTAAAATGATAAATTTTCTCAGTTTCAACTTTTGTTCCGTGATTTATGTTCTATTCTGAATAAAATATTGACATTTGCCATCTCCACACCGTTGCATTCAGTTTTTATTCACAATTTGTTTAGTGTCCCAACTTTTTTGGAATCCGGTTTGTAGCTGGAAAAATAAGACAATAGCAACACGTCTGACTGAGTATTTGTCTCAAACAGACTTATTATAGTTTTGTATTTTCTAATTAGTTTGTATTTTTATTTCATTTTGACTTTTCCTTTTTCAGTTCAGTTTCAGTTAGTTTACAGAGTGGATTTTGTTTCAGTTTAGTTTTTATTGTTTGAAAATGTTTAATTTTATTTTAGCTTTTATTACCCATATGGAAAAGATATATATAAATCTTATAAAGTTTTTATCTGTCTTGTATGAAACTTGTATGAAAAGCATACAAGAGTGAAAACACATATAAGATCCCTTGAAAAATTATATAATGAAACTTGTATGTTTTGTATACTTACTAAAAACATGTATGATTTTCTCATGAAAGTGGCCACTTTCATGTTTTTACTATTTCTTTTCCATATGGGTAGTTCCAGTGTCAGTTTTAGTCTTTTTAATTATTGTATGCAGTAACCCACAGTTTTGTAGACATCCAAAATCTGAAGAAGCATATCCACCAATGTCTCATCAGGCAAGATGTAATAAATTTTGTTTTTACCAGACTAACAAAAACTTAAACTAAGGATATATTTTCTCTACCGAGGGCCAGCGCACAAAGTGTGCAAAGGCCCAATTGGAATTGCTCTGTTTATTCTTTTTTGTAATGCAAGTTTGTTTTCAAATTTCACAAATTGTTTCAGTTAGTTTAAATTTTTCTCAAACATCTATTTTTTTTACTAAAATGTTTTTCATATCACAGTTTACAGTCTTAGTTTTGAGTTTCATTTTGTTAACTATAATAGCCTTTGTCCAAGTGCGTCTAAACATGTGATAGCCGTAGACAGAAAGCTAAATGACACTTGATGTAATCTAACATAATTTTGCCAACTGTAGAAATGTTTGCTTTGATCCATAAAAAAATTTGGATACTTATTAATTAAAAACAGATAAATAAATGAAATTTTGTGAACAACAAAGAGATCTTAATCCTCACTAACTGTGTAAAATGAAGACATTTCATAGGAAATGTCATGCATTCATTATGGTAATTGCTTCTTGGATTTACAGTTTCTGTCAATCTGCTGGTTGTATCAGCTCTCCTCTGACTCTGGTCTTCAGATTTGGGGAAATGAGGTCTGCCACAAGAACAGTGGATATTAGCTCAAGGAACTTAAGTCATCTTTTGCTAATGAAAATGCAAACAAACAGAAAAACAAACAAACACAAAACTCTACAACTAACAAACACTATGTTGAAGTTAATGTTAATTACACTTTTGCATTTTTAAAGTTTCACTATTTTTTATCATTTGCCCAAAGAGATTAAAAATAAATACAAGGACATTAACATATAAACAGCTAAATATACTGTTTATTCCAGTCCCACTTCAGATTTGGTATTATCAATCCACATAGTTATATTAGTATCCCCCCCATCACTCAACCTTGACCTCTCCTCAAACCCAATTTCATCCAAAACATATCCTGCTGTTCAATTTGCTGAGCAGATATGAGAAGAGACAGGCCATGAATCTGTCCAGTATCTAATTTTTGGACCAAAAGCTTGAGAGTCTCAGTACTTAGCCACCTGCACCTCACTAGTACCAACAAATTATGAAAAAAAATATAGATACAGAAAATAAATGAATAAAAAGGGTAAGAAATAAAAAGAAGCATTTGTGAAGCTGCCAGTTCCCACCAGTAACTGGGAACCCACAACAGACAACTTTAGTGATGAAATGTGGCCCTCTAGTGGCTGCAAATAGTTAGCTCTTCAACTCTGACACAAAATATGCACTCTATGAATAAGAGTGCATATTTAATTAATATGTACTCTTAATTATAATAATTTATGAAGACATGCATCCTTTTCCTTTCATATTTTATACTGGGTCTTTTTTTCTCCTAAGGAAAGTTTCTAAAACTAGTTGTTGAAAGTGTCCCACCTGACAAGCTGCGAGGGCGGGCCTCAGCGAGATCTGAAATGGCTCCTGTAGTCACAGTCTTCTTCATCCGGGAACCGGAGGCAGTAGCTCCTGGTGGAGGCTTTGTCAAGGCATCATCACTGCTGGCTCTTTTCAGCTAAAAACACATCTGTGCTTAGTAAAAGTCATGCAAGTCTAATAAAGTTCTTCTTAATCTTTTGGACATGCTTTTATTTAAACCAACATTAGCAAGGTTAATCTGTGTATCACTGCACCTGTGACTTACCTTGCTAAGGCGCTGATCTGAGGCCAACGTGTTGGAGGATCTGGAGGTCTTCATGGCTGAGGAGGTGGTGGAGACAGAGGACGTTGAGGGGGCCTGCCTTACTCGTTCCTGGAGTCCAGGCTTGGGCAGCCCCACTTTGGTGGCGCCCGCTTTCATCATGGCTAGGTGTCAGCGGACTACACCTGAAAAAAGTCCAGACAAAAGTGGAAGTTATTCATTATGGTAAAACGATAATGAATAATAGATAATAGCATTAGTCTAAGTATGTAGGATCTGCAGTAGGTGGGCAGATTTTCCCAACAGATGGTCAGGGCAGACTTGGTCAAGGCTGCTTTGTTTTAACCGCTGAGCTCTACTCCATCTCCCAGAGGCAGCAGTGAAATATGAACACGACTTGCCCTTTAATAGAAAAAGCAACTGAACAAAAAACACAACTCTGAGAGCATGATATGACACCGCCTGAAGCCGCTTATGCTTTTAGAAATCTTTACAGTCATTGTTATTGTGATTATTATTTTTATTTATATAGTTTATATATTTTTGTTATCATCATACTGTGTTCATCTTTATTTTTCATGTTCATGTTTGCATCTTTCCTCCGTTTGTTTCTTTATTATGCTTTATTTAACTGATCTTAATTTACAATTATGTTTATCAAACACTAAACTTTAAAAGAATATTCGTAGAGTTCTGCTAAATACGCTAACACATACTCATTGGCTTTACTGTATGTGGATAGATCATGCCTACTGGTGCCCCCCCCCATCATTGTGAGCCAGGAAAGACCCTGGATAATGTTTCCCTCCAGTACATATAAAAGGAAACCCTGAAAAATAGGCAGCACATTCTCCTCAGGTTATAAGATGACTATAATGGATTAGCACTGACATGTGGTATTTATTACTGTTCCAAAAAATACTAGCCAGGAGGTGCCTATGCAGCGAGCTTAAGTTATTTTAGCAGAAACACTATTGAGCCACTTCCTGTAGGAGGGAGGAGAAAGAACACAGTCTCTTATCTGATTTGTTCATACCAGCAGCACTGACCAAGACTCCACTTCATCTCCACACCAGTAGAAGTTACATATGCAGTGTGAAAATGGCAGAAGTGGCTGTATAAGAAATATGGTAAAAATAGGCCTTTTGCATATACAGGATATACTGAGATACGGTGTACTGATTTTGGATGTTCATGATAAACATGGCCAGTGTTTGAAGTAATGAAACACACGAAATACCTGTGAGCCAACAAACAAACAAACTACAGGCATCAGACGTCTCTAAGCATCATGTCTAAGACACTTTTTGTTTTCCACTCTTGGATCATTACATTATCAAAAAGAGAGAATAACTCGTATACAATCTCAGAAGACACATAGCAACTCAAAACCATGAAATGTTCAACTGCACCAAGGCTCGGTACAAGTTAATAAACTCATGCAAAGCTACTTGAGTAAAGTCCTGGGATAAAAATATGAAGCTGGAAAAGACACACACACAACAGGCTCCCTTTAAAAGCAGCACAATAATATAATATGATGTGGTCAGGGTGACTGTTAAAGGTTTGCATTTGATGTGGGTAATGTGCTCATCTGAGCAGCTAAAGGAAATGGAGGTCAGAGTGCAAAGACAGAGCATACTGGTAAAAAGGTTCGGTAGCTCCCAAAGGGTTGGCTGACTTATTGATTGTGGTTGTGTGGTAACTTGATTCTCTGAGAAGCAGAGGACTCTTGATGAGAATAGTACTCTCTAGTCACTTAAGCCTGTACAACCATGACTTCCCAACAGGAAGGCCACCTTTTCCCCCCCCTCCAGTCACAACTATTTATACATTTTGTACTGCAGTGACTGAACTGCTGCATGTGTAGCAATTTAGAGCAGGACAAACGATGCTGCAGTAACGAGTAGTTGGCACATACTTAAGATAATTTCACACTGTAAGTACACTTTTAGGTGCTTAGGTACTGGTTAACAGCACAATATATTCAGTTGCTTTATTGACTGTATCAGAGCATGTGTTTTCCTGCTGGCCCATCATATGATACTTCGGGCCTCTCTAGGCAATATCCCATGACTAGCTCCTGCCTAGCCTAGCAGTCTACCACTTCAGCCGTGCTGTCTCACCTCCCCTCAGACACAGATTACATAGCTATGGCACCATTCTCTACAGAGCACAAGCTGTGCCTGTTTCTCAACCTGCCCTGAACACTTTGTAGGCTAAATGAGGAAGTGAGATACATTTGAGGATGTTTCAATCCAGGATGTATAATCGTGTTCCCTGTTATTCGTTTTTGTATTTTTTTTTATTTTTTGGAGGGGGAGGGGGGGTGATTACTACTAAGAGAGAGTAAAAGCTCTAGGCAAGCATTTTGAAAAGATAATAAATATATATGAAAGGATAAGTGTCTAAACTTTAACACTGATACATTTTGTTTCCACTTTCCTCAACCACTGCAGAAGTCTGCATATACAGTATGACCTTTCCATATTTCCTCTGCAGAGACAGGATTCTCAGGGGCCAGAGTCCTGTCCCACTTATCTTACAACGACCCAGTTGTGAAAACTAAAAGTCTTTGAGAGACAGCCAGAACTAACTTTAAACTTGAACTAAAAACTAAGACAGTGAGTATCTCCCTGTAAACAGCACATTAGCCAAGAAAGATGACAGTCATTTAATGGTTTTATTACACTGCAGCTTGCTGAGTCTAATGAGACACATATGCTGGATGATGACATTATGACTTCTTCATGATTGGTAAAAAACTAAATATGGAATCTGCTCTAAAAAACAGCCATTTTTGAAAGGCAAATATAATTTGCAGTCACCACAGCAGTAAGTAATGGGTTGTCATCTGCCTTAATTATATTGCTTCCAAACTTGGCAAGATGATATAAAGGCTGAATATGGAACGGAGAGGAGGAGGAGGAGTTTCTCCAAATTTCTGACAGTTGCTTCTAGACTGTGCTGCTAGAAGGAGATAAGAGGAAAGCAACTGACAGCAGTCATCAGTCTGGGCCTGGATAAAACAATCACATACACATCATGTGATCTGATAGAACTTCAGGAAAGAGGACAATGTGCTACCATTACAAAACCAAGAGAAGCACTGAAATCAGACCAAGATGAATTATATGAAAAGTCAACAAATTCAACCACACATCTTAATTTGAGGTTTGACAACTAACTTCCTGCATGCTTCCATTTCACTTAATCTCATAATTTAATCTTAATCTACTGCATACAAATTCAATAATCTAGTTTACTTTTGTTAGCTACATTATTAAATACAATCCCGAATGAAAGGAATTCATTTTACAAATATGTAACTTTGCCTGCTCAGCTTGCCATGACTACAAATAGTCTCCAATCATAGAGAAAAATCCACGCTAATGGATCTTTGCTCATTCTCTGCCCCTAAATACAGACTCTGAAAAAGTACAGGACAAGCAAACTGCTCTCCACTTCAAATATTTAGTGCATGTAGAATATAAATGAACTACTGCATCAATAACTCTCAGTGCATAAGAATGAAGATCCTGTCTATTCATTTTAAGCAAACCTTAATGAAAAAATGAAAACATAGGTTGAAACTGCAGGTCCTACAAAGGAGTGGCTGCAAAACTTGTTGCCTTCTTGTGATAAGACTCTGTTGCACAGAGTAAAGTCTGGTGTGACTGGATGCCACTGATACAAAGTTCTTTTTGCAGAGTTAAGCTAACGTATGTCTTTACCTCCAGACCATGGGCACTGACAAGACTGCTTCACTGACCAGCAGAAGCAGCAGCATGAATGATTCAAGAAATGATCAAATATAATGCTTCAAACCGCAATGGACACATAAGAAACAGAAAATAAGTTACTAGGTTAAATGTCACTCTGAATCATCACATCCTCTTGACTTCTTTCCTGTCTGGCTCTGTGGTTAGCAAAAAGGCTTGAGCTAAATAATATACAATAAGGATAACATATGGCATCCTCTGTTAGCCACTGTTTTTAAAACTTCCCTTCCAACAGATCATGGTGGTGAATTTACTGGGTTTAAACTATTCTATAGTCACCAATCTTATATTAAATTCAAAGTAAAATCATAGGAAGCGCTAAAAGAAGCGAGTAATGAAACAGTAATGGCAGATTGTTGACAAAACAAAAGACACAGCAGTTCACTTACGTTTTTGGTGCTGGGCGCTGTCCTATAGTCTACCTTGTGCCTGAGTTCCTTGCAGCAAAAATGAACAAAATATTTCTCTGTCGTTATGCTCTAAAGAGGCTGCGGGGGGAAATGCAGGGCCAGGAGCAATGGCTTTCACCTCCATACAGCAGTCAGGATGAGGAAGTACTGCAAGTTGCCAACTGCTGTGCTATGTGTGCTGTTGCCGCTTTCACTCTCTCATACAAAAGCAAATAAAGGAACTGTCTCAGCCATGGGCAAGTTGTTCTCCTCTCAGTTTTTCCAGACAGCATGAAAGGGGGAAAAAAAAAATCTGGGATAGGCTGGAAAATGTACAACATTCAGATTTATTTAACCTGAAACTGTATGTTGTGAAAGAGAACATCAGTAGGTTTTTTTTGTTTGGTTTTTTTAAAAAAAACAAAAAAACAAAAAAACAACATGCTACTGGAAATAGATTCTGGAAACAGATTTATGATACTGTTGTGCACAGTTTATTTCTAAGTTATCTGTAGGCTTTATACACATAAATAATGGCCACTGACACTGACAAAGCCAATCTTTGTCTCAGAAACACACCAAAATATGAGGGCGGCTGATTTGTGGAGGGGTCAGCATTTTATGCTCTCCCATACTGATGTAATTTGGATCCCACAATGTACAGCATGCCAAGGCCGTGGAGCATGTGGGCAGAGTGTACGGCACTCTGGGCTGGGCTGGAACAGGCTCCAGTTTGTGGCAAGTGGCAAACTGAGGAACTTGGTCTGACCACACCCTTATGCCACCACAAAACCTGCCTTTTAAAAAGGGGGATTCAGAGAGTGTAGTAACAGTTGAGTTAGATGCTCAACATTTTTTTTTTTTTTTTAAAAAGGCACGCAGTTTCACACTCAGATTCCAAGTGTGATTGATACACATCTGACAAAAACATGCTTTCGACGACATGGATTCTGATACTACCATTGTCACTCCCTACATCATAAATTACAGCCTTCTAGTGTCACAACGCCACATTATTCCCATGATTATTCACCATGGGTGGTGACCTGTGTCATTCTTGGACCTAACTACCTAACCATGACCATACGACGGTCTTTTTAAATCCTATATTTTGATGCTGCAAACAGAGTTAACTTCTTTTCTTCAATATTCATCAGATGACTGTAAAGGTTCTAATTAGCAATGGTAACCATGTTTTCTATCAACATCTATTCTTAATGGATTGCTGTAACACTGAGCATTGCAATACACTAAGTCATGAATCAATCTCTCTTTATTCCAAATTACACAGGAATGCAGAATACTTTATAATAAAATGAATCCCCAAAGGACAGACGTAATTAGGCAACCCAATGTATTCCAAATCCAGCAAGTCGTAGACAAGTTTAATTTAGTTGCTAAGAGCGATTGCTTTTACTTTAAAGGCAAATGTTCTCCATTTCCAGTTTGCATTGCCTTACTTAAGTTTACATACAGCTCAGAGAGTAGATAGCAAATGTTCGTAGACAACTTTGTGCGTTTCATGCAAACTACAAGAAACTTTTCTAGTGTCTCAAGCAATGACAAGGATCTGGCCCCTCCACTAAATTTCCTGGACTTTTGAAACCCCTAGCCTCCAAGCAGGGACTTTTTAGAAGTAGAAAAATACCCAGGACTTAATTTAAACATTAGTTTCCACAGTGGAAACAAAGCTTTCATGCTCCCAGGGGAAAGTTCCTGCAGTGGTAAAGTGGGAAGATTGTTTACTGTCTTTTTCTTCTTCCCATACATACCTTGTCATCAGCTTCTCCTTTTTATCTACAACTGAGAATATTTTCCAAGACAGTGCTGCTTACATGGAGTAAACAAGAAAATAAACTGTGAAGGTGAAAATAAGGAGGCCTATGACTAATTATGATGACTATTTTTTCAGCCATACAACAGCTGCCTTGCACATCAGGACGTTCCTATGAATTTCTGACCAAAATAAGCTTCCTTGCCATCTGCATAAAATTAAAACCAAACATTAGAAAGGTTAAATATGCAAGCAGGAAGTTGCAGACCCCTGGAGTATGAAACATGTCAAACATTAATAAATAATGATGGTACATAAAACCATGTGGCTGGTTGCTCAGTGGGTGACACGTCTGTCAGGGGAATTCCTGTCATCATATAATACAAGAGGCCAGGCAGACAGACTTCTGAATAACACAGTTCTCTCATAAAACTAAATGCAGGCACACAATACAGTAAACACCAAATGCTTGTCCTCCTCTTCCTTTTCCACCTTCTGTGTAGAGGAAAAAGCACTGAGTCAGAATCTCCACGAAGACACAACACTGTCACATGGGATGTAAAAACAAATACAAGATGTTCAATGATTCAGTCGAGCATGTCTAAAAATACAGCATTTTCCATCATCACTTGGCATTTGAAAATTGAAACTGCTCACAAAATTAGCCTAAGGCAAATAGTCTGAGAATTACAGGATTACACAATCAACATAAAATTAACTTAGACTAACATGAAAAAGGAATATTAGTAACAGTCCAAACAAACTTGACTATGGCTAGATCCCAGTTTCAAGATGTGGAAGCTAGCTTAGAAAATAACAAAGTAGCTTAACACAATGAAAAAGTTACAAATGTCAGTGTTGTCAAATCTCTGAAATAGACATTTCTAAGAAGAATGAGGTGTGATTTCATTATGTATATAATACTATACTGTTGAGGGGCAGGCAGTCTGGTTTTTCATTTTATTGGGGGAAATAACATTAGACTGTTTTTGATAAAGCCTTTATGTTTAACCTTCTTGGTAATACTGTATCTGAGAATCTGATCCAAACCACACCAGCGCCAAGATTCATGGATTATATTAGCAGTTGCTAGTCACTACTGATGTAGCAACTGGTGAAACCTAATATAGCAATGATGACGTCTATCATTGGAAGCTACTTGGATGCTAATCATAGTGGAGAAAGAGCACTGTAACTAAGCTTCTTACAAATGAAAGCAGAGATTATCTGTGTGTCACTGCTGCTGCTGATATTAGTGATATCTCATTACCATAACAGCAGCTGAACAAATTGCCATCTGCATTACAGCTAATAAACAGATAGCTTTTTTTTTTTTTAAAGCATACAACACTCCCAAATTAAAAGCTATTTTACTTATATTGTATTAAGTAATACAAAGTTGCTAGCGGAGTTGACAATACACATCCAGGAAATTTTCACCTCCCACCCATGCAAAAATTGATTCATTTTGTCTGACCACCCTAGCATATCCAAAGCATCTGTGTGGCACCTGGATGTTGCAAAGCGAAGTGCAAAGTCATTATATGGGCTAAAGTGAAACAGGAAGTGAGTGGGATTAGCTCGTATCCCACGCTGCGAGATAGTCTTTGTTCTCCCCCTGTGTTCCCCCTTTAGAGGAAAGAGATGTGAAACTAGGATGCAAAAAGCTGTATTAGAGGGTTTCCGGCAAAGTTTTACACAACATACTAGAGTAAATGTGACATTTTTGTACTTTGAGCGACTTGTAAGAACCGAGTGTAGCAAAATCATGATGTAAAAAAAAACACAAAACACTAAAATTAGCACAGCTGTACAAATATAAACAGAGTAAAAGCTAAAACCATACTGGAGTGAATGTAGGAGACTTAACCTACAGCTTGAAATAGTTTCATATACAACAAGAAACTCCACTACCCTTACAGTATTATACCGCACCGATGCTCAACTAAAACCCAGAAAAACTACTTCTCACCATCTGGATATTAAATAAACTAAAGATTATAGCTGATGTTGAATCATCACTTTTTTAGTTCAGTACAAGATGGGAAGAAAGTAGAGCTAGTCAGCAAAATGCTGTGTCGACAATTTCCTTTGATCTGGACCCAGATCAATATACCGCTTGCCTGGTCTGTTTACAACATGGCCTCCCAAACTAATCACTTTTTGAATATATGCTCATATTGAGACGCCCAGTTCCCAATGTTTATGTCTGATACAGTATTCACACACTGAAAATATGCCACTGTATTTAAATTAGGATAAGCTCCAATATTTGGTCTTCACTTGTGTACTTACTAACTTTTCAAGTACATGTTGTTTATTGTCATCTCTCTCATAATCAGAGTCCACAGTAAAATGACATGACTTTAAATGTATATGATACTACATGAAACAGTAAACATGCAGAGCAAAAAAAATAAATAAATTAAAAAAAAAAAGGAAAAGGACTAAAAATAAAGCTTGTTCCCATTTCATAAATAAATAAATACAACTACATAATAGTTATGGTATCAGAACAACTAATTAGAAAATTACAACAGTCATCAAAGCAATCATTAGAAAACTGTTGACTTTCCAAATCTATTCAGCTCAGCTATCTGAACCATGGTTTGGTACATACCATGTTATTTTAAGCGGTGGAGGGGGGGAGAAGTAAACTCCATTAATCTGATGGATTTCCATTTAACTCTCTTCATAGCTCCACCAAACCTTTTAGCATAAACACCGAGCACATGGTTGGTGTTTATGCTAAACACCAAGCACATGCTTAATTAACTTATCATCCCAGCAAACACAGAGTCATTATCTCCTCAGTGAAAACTGGTCATGATAACGGTAAAAACTGTGTTACTGACGGATAAATGTTTATTTCAACATCCAACACTGGTCCAGTGAGACCATCTTTTACAAAGCAACAAACAACAGTGATATTAATGCATGAAAAAATTAAATGTACATATTCTTGTTTTTCTTAACCCAAGCACATTTGCTTGACAGCTAATTCTATCAATAAACACTTGTAAGAAGGCAGCACACAAGATTTTTTGTACATAAGCACGCTAGTATTACAGAGCCTGTTTTTTTTTCAATACAAACACTTTTACCTAGATATATATTCTGTCTTATTTGTTCTACGATTATCTTAAGATGTCTGGTATGGTTTTTAGGGCAAGAGCTCAGGAGCGCAGTTGAGGCACAACATGCTGAGGGAAATCAACAAAAACTTCTGCCATAATTCTGGATAAATTTTTGACCAACGATATCTAGGTAATGTAGAAGTAATACATCCAGAAGACCTTAAGGTTGCGTCTCTGATGTCGGCACAACTTTAATTTTGCAACAACTTTTCAATACTGTGTCACTAAAGTGTCACTAAAAATTGTTGGCCGACAGTTTTTAAACATGGAAATGTTTGCTCAGATTACGTATGCTGCACAAGAATTTCCTAATCATAGATTCTCAACCTAGAAACACACTTAAACAATATTTCATTACATACCATAGTTTTAAAAAAGTACAATTAATATCCTATAAATTAGCTCCAGATGTTAGGCAAGCACTCTGTTGGTAACACAGCACTATTAGCAAGAGCTCAAGAGTACGCTTTGAAATGAAGAGATGCTGTATTGCAAAGCAAGAATTCA